GGTGGAGGCCTCAAACACAACCGGTACTCCAATTTTTATGTTGCTCTTTCATCAGTCCCCAGAAAGACTAAGACCACTTCAAAGGTTCACCAGGGAGGTCACTCTTATCAACCTAGTGAGGGGTAAGGATTTAGCAGTTGGAACATTTACATACCAATGACTCTTTGCTTACTCACCTAAGGAGCCTGTCCAGATTAGATGAGAAATGAATCTTCCCTGTGTCCCCCTAACAAACTTGCTCAGATAGAAGAAGCTACTTGGATAAGCAGCAGAATCTTTCGAACCAATAAGAAAAGAAGTCCAGTTGCTATGCTTCAGCTTCCAGACAACTCTACCTGAATGGCTGAGAATCTTCACCGACAAACGTACTTCAATTGCATAGGTTAAGATGTTAGTTTCTTGGACAAGTTCCAGGCCAAGAAATAATAACACATTATCCATTCATTAAAAACCACAATGACATTTAATCCTGCAAAAACATTACATGCAGCACTGGTAGTTATGGTCAAGACTGTCTGACAGCTGCCTGATGTATTCAAACAATGATCCAAAATTTTTTACTGGGCATATTATTTAATTCTTTTGCTTGCATGTATACTCCAGACTCCAGAGCCTTGCAGACTGTTTTGTTCAATGTTGTCTTTCTGATAACCAACCATGATTCTTAAAGAATGATGTAAGCCCGTGATGGCAAACCTATGACACACGCGCCACAGATGGCACGCAGAGCCCTCTCTGCGGGCACACCAGCCATTGCCCCAGCCTAGTTCCATTGTGCATGTGTGTACACCTCCCGCCGTCCAGCTGGTCTTTGAATCCGCTTGTGCACTTTTTGACCTGTAATTGCTTCACTTCTAGCTCTTAATTCCCCATCACTGCATATAATACACACCAGACAATGAGTAGAAACTGCACCACCATAATTGTTAGATTTATTTATACAAACTTAGATACAATTTATATGGCTGCCCATCTTTCTTCACGACACAGGACAGCTAAGAATAGATTAAAACCATAGCAATAAAACCCAGCAAAAATAGATCCCATGAGATCTTTAATGCAGTGGAGCCCGCTAGCGACATTCATCCTACAGATATAAGCCATGCAACTAGGCAAACTTTAGATGCCTGTTCCAGGCCTGTGAGAATAACTGTTTTAAAATACTGATAAGGTTGGAGCCATCTGAATCTCACAAAGAATGGTATTCTATCTAAAGGATAGGCACTGCAACAGACAAAGCATTTTTGAGCAGCATGATGGAGATCAATGTGGGAATAGAAGCAGTGTGTCTCCTCCTGCCCCGATTCACATTAATTCTCCCCAAACAAAGCCAAATATGTCTGCTCTTTTCCCTTCTTGAGAAATTAATACGGTATCCTGCTGCTATCTGGGAAGTCAGAAGGTTGAATTGTGTTTCCTGCTCCTTTCAAACTTTCAGATTTAGAACTTTCTGATTAAAACTATACAAGTCATTGTAAATGGGGTATACTTCATCCACAGTGAAGGTGAAATCAATGGATTCTAAGAAAAATTTTAAGAAAATTCTTCTCTTCAGAGGTTCTAAGCAGAGATATCAAATGCACTTCATCAAAGTGCAAAGATTGGTATGTTGATGATAATGATGCTTTTAGATTCATTAACGTTATTTCTGAAATTAAGCAGAGACTGGGTAAATTTGGGCTAATGTCCACATTAAAAACTAATAATCCAAATTTAGACTAGCTATGAACCACTAGATATTTTGATGATGAAAATGAATCTGACATGCCCCTGCTTCCTAAATTTAAGTTTTCTTTTTCAAATTTTATTTATTATTTTGCCCTGAAGATCACATCAGTTTGTCATGGCATTCTCAGTACATTTATTCACAAAAGGCAGGGGGTGGGGGGTGGGATTTACAGGAATATATAAATGCAGTGTGAATAAAGATATAAATAAGAGAGATTTGACAATACCACCAAGCTTATGTTTGTTGATATATTACAAAGCCAATCAGTTGAGACACTAATATTATTTCTGGGGATGATCAAAATAAACTGGATGGGCAACAGTTGTTTCTCTGTCACCATATGGGTTTAAGAAAGGACACTCTATTAATGATCATTGGATCTCCCCAGTTGCCCTCATAAGTATTCTCAGTACGTGAAACTGAAGCTACAGTACATGGATGCACCCTTTGAGACAAATAGGGCTTACAAAAGCTCAGCAGAGAGTAAACTCAAAACTGTTTGCAAAGTCACACCAAACTCAAAATAATAAATTTCCTAGTTCCAGAATTTTATATTCAAACTAGAGGTTAAGGAATAATGTTTGACTATTATTACAATACAATAAGAAATCACGAGGGTGATACAGAATATATGAGAAATGAAGAAATTCACTGGAAGAGCTTACATCAGTGACGGGTAACCTTTTTGTTGTTGCATGCTGAAAGCGCACACATGCTCACACAACAGCACACACCCATACCCATAATGCAATGCATGCCCCCCCACCCACTACGCATGTGCTCCTCCCAGGTGCCCTACACATGTGCGTGTGACCCCCCATGCCCCACGCATGTGCTCCACCCGTCTCACCCATTTTTGGTTTCCAGGTTGCATCCTGGAAGCCAAAATGGGGCAGGGGGGGGGGCGACATATGCACTACCATGCCCCGTTTTGGGCCTGGAAGGCCTCCTGCACCAACCTGGAAGCAAAACCGGGCACGGGGTGCTGCACGAGGCCCCAAAATACAATGTGAGTGGGGGGACCACCCATGAGCGGCAAAGATTCTCATATCTCATGTTACTCTGTTAGAAGAGGCTGCACACAAAT